GAACCTTCTCGGGGGGCTCAAGCCCCCTCCCTAGCTCCAGCTACACAGAGTACTCATCCTTCGCCTCACGTTGAGCCCTCAACAAGTCCTCGACTAGTGATCGACATACTTGGAAACGAGTCGTAGGGCAACACAGTAGTCGCATTCCCTAGCTCGAGTCTCGAGGTGTCTGTTGGTCAGATTGATTCATAGTTGAGGAGGGTGGCGGTAATTATCCAAACAAGAGGGGGGTTTTCGTAATTTGACCATAGCTCAGGGGGTGGCCGTAATTTGCCCTAATTTATTTGTAAAGAAAATGTATATATAGATTAATCTGAATAAGAATGGATGGGCGAAGACTTCTTCAAACCTCCGGCCGATGATAAATATTGGGCTCCGTATCCATTTTTGTATTTTATAATATATTTCTCCACTTGGATTAATCTGTATGAGTTTTAGAAAAATACAATAAAATACGTGACAGCAGAAGACTCACCCAATGATTATAACTGGGTGTAGGACCGAAGGAGCCGATGGGTGAAACCCATTTCCGCACTCCGATTTTCTCTTTTCTTTCAGCCCATTTTATACTAAAACGGCATTGTTTTGTATTTCTCCAGCCCGAAAGTAACGGCCGTGTTTTTTTCTTCCAATTCCTTTTATTTCTGGTCGGCTCTCTGCGGGGCCCATGGTCGGCGTGTGACGTGTTTTACTGTGTGCAAGCCTCTTTTAATATCCTGCCCTCGTATCTGTTGAATGACCACCTCAACCAGAAGCTTAAACTTGTTAGTGAAATGTATCAGTTAATATTAATATCTCCAATACGCCCCCTCAAGTGCATGCGAATTACATTTGAAGCTTTGTACTTGAAATATTTAAAATAGATGGTTGTGGAAATTCGAACTCAGAACCTTTTCATTTGACATTGCTCCGATACCATGTTGAATGACCACATTTTCAGTCGTTCGATCTATCTCTCTACGACGAATACGCCGTGGCCTCCTTCTTCAACCTCCAGCACCACCACAAACAACTTCTCTTCCGCCTACCATCTCGTCAAATCTGAATTTCCTTTTGTCCATTCGGCTCGCCCCATTTCTTCCCCCAAAAATCCCGCCGTCCGTCCAGCCCGGTATAAAGATGGCCACGATCAATTTCTCTTGAACCAGGGGCATTTTCGGTATTGCATATATGGGATCAAATAGTTTTGCTATATTTTTTTTTTTCCAGCACAGCCTTTTTCAAAAGAAAAATGACTACGCATTTGAATTCAGCCCACTTGAAGAATTTAATTGAGCCCAGCTTATCATTATATTTTTTGGCCCAAGGAGCTAGTCGGGCCCAGTCACAGAAAATTTGTTCATTCAATCTATTGCAAGATTAATTTCAAAATAATTGTTTAATCAAGTACTAATCAACCATGTTATAAGAAAAAAAAATGTTGAATGGAACTAATCTATATCGCCGATTTGAAAATAATCGGAGAAAAAAGACAATTATACAATGTACATTTAGTAATTTTCGTTAAAAAAATTCGTACGAGACCAATATTTAAGTAATAGTTTAATTTATTGAAAACCACTAACTGAATACATATTATGGTGCCAAACAAAGCTTTAACGAGGACTCTCGATCTTCAATAATATAAAATCTTATTTAGCCAAAAATAAAATATAAAAAGGAATACATAATGTGATCTAGAGATATGTAATAAATTTATATTTTCTTGCTTCAATACTTGATGCTTTTTAAAATTCCCTTGTTATATTAATTGATTGGTGTTCTATTATTCCCTCTTTCAAAGTCGTCATCGGCACAGAATGAATCGACGGGGATAGAATCGTGTTTAAATGATGGGATACAATTATATTTAAATATATTACTATGATTATTATTATGAAACTTTTGTTATGTGATTATGATATAATATTTAGAAATATCTTACATATGATCTGAAATCGATTTACTTTTGATTTATCACCGACTCGCGCTTTTTATAACATTGCTCTAAATGGAACACAATTCAGGGCATTTGGATTGAGGAAATGAAGTTTAATCACTTCTTCTAGTCCAAATGAAGTAATTAATTAACCTAACCCTAATTTTTGCAATAAGAAACTGATTAGTGCACGTTATCAGTGATGAGATGATATCTGGACCGTTGACTACACCAAACTCTACGGTAGTTAGTAGTTATTCACTACTGACCGTTAGATTGAACGTTTGCAAAAACGTTTCCGTGCAACCAGTATCACAGGATTTTTCCCTCCGCCATTAAAGTATTAAAATAGATGAGAGAGTAAAATCTGCTGGTTTCCAGGCTGGATCTCATAATACTGATTTCAATTTTTGGTCCCATCCCATCAACAATAAGTAACACATTCTGTACTCTACTCCTATTACACCAATTGTCAAATATACCCCTAACTAATTCTTCATTGTCTTCTTAAAAATTAATAAACTGCCTTTGACTTCTTATACTTGGGCAAAAACTAAACATTGTTTCTTAATTATGATAAAAAAAAAATTGAAAATATATTTTATTTATTATCTGATATTAGGTTTTGATTTCAGTATAATATATAAAGTTAAATCTCTATAAATTAATACAATTATAATTAGTAAAATTCTTTTATTTTAACAAAATATTAAACTATCAAACTAATAATTTAACAAGTTTTTACTCTGTCGTTTGAGACAAAAAAAACTGTTATTATTTAATCCATGTAATTAACTTATCAAGGTTTAGTGTATATAGATAATGTATTCATGTTATATAATTTATAGTTCTAAAATGGATCAGATGTTTCCTATTCTTCCAAAAAAAAATAATTAATGATCTTGAATGAGCAAAAAGGTTGACCATTAAAAAATTGGGTCAAAATTCAAAATTTTCAATTTTATTTCCGAAAAAAAAGTGTTTTAAGATATTTGTATTTTACATAAATGGTCAAACTACCAGATTATTTTGTTTATCAAATAAGAAAAAATCCCGGGGGTATAAATGTCATTCCACTTTACATTTCCATTCAGTCTCCTCTTCTTCCTTATCTCATAATATTCATTCATCATGAATCTTCACCACCACAACCACCGCACAAAACCATCCTAATTACCACCGCCGCCGCAAGGCACCATGAAGCCCAACCTCCGGGGTCCTACCCGCCACCATCGCGGGGAATAAAAAAAGGGCCTACTCCTCTGCAGAAAAACACGGGGGCCGCAAACAACCACCCGCAATTCAACGAAGCACCCGCATTCCGCAACGGCAACTCCTGCTCACCTCCCCAACACCACCACCACAACTCCACCACCACCACCGCCGCCGCCGCCGCCGACGACGACGTCCACATAGCAATGACACTGGACTACTCCTCCCCATACCTCCGCGGCTCCATCGCCGCCGTACTCTCAGTCCTCCAGCACTCCACCTGCCCAGAGAACACTGTCTTCCACTTCCTGGCAACGCCCAACCACCACCCCCAACTCCTCACAACCATCACCACCACCTTCCCGTACCTAAACTTCCACCTCTACTCCTTCAACCCCGCCACCGTGAACCACCTAATCTCCACCTCCATCCGCCGCGCCCTCGACCAGCCCCTGAACTACGCCCGCATCTACCTCGCCGACCTCCTCCCGCAATCCGTCGGCCGGATAATCTACCTCGACTCCGACCTCATCGTCGTCGACGACATCGCCAAACTCTGGCGAATAAACCTCAATTCCCACGTGCTCGGAGCCCCGGAATACTGCCACGCGAACTTCAGCCATTACTTCACACCCAAGTTCTGGTCAAACTCAAACCCTTTCTTCTCCACCACCTTCAGAAACCGGAAGCCCTGCTACTTCAACACCGGAGTAATGGTGATCGACCTCGCCAGGTGGCGGAGCCACCGCTTCACGCGGAAGCTCGAGTACTGGATGAGCATCCAGAAAAGATACAGGATCTACGAGCTGGGATCTCTGCCGCCGTTTCTGCTCGTCTTCGCCGGAAACGTGGAGGCGGTGGAGCACCGGTGGAACCAGCACGGGCTCGGCGGAGATAACCTGGAAGGGCTGTGCAGAGATCTCCACCCGGGTCCGGTGAGCTTGCTGCATTGGAGCGGGAAGGGGAAACCATGGCTGAGGCTCGACGCCAAGAAGGCTTGTACCTTGGATTATCTTTGGTCGCCTTATGACTTGTACAGGCATGCGTCTCTATATTCGGACGGCTGAACTCGACCGCAGAGGATCGCAGCCCCCGGAAGAAATTAAAATTACCACTAATACCGTCGTGACTAATTGAGGTGTGATGAGTTGGTGACAGTTGGGAGAAGAGGGGGGAAAGTGAATTGTAAGGCAAATGCATGGTTGAGGGAGAGGACAAAAGTTTGGAAGAATATTATGATGACGTCATTATCAGGGGTAGCATTGGAATGCGTGAATTTTGTTTTTTTTTTTAGAGTTAAATGTGGTGTATTGGATTTTACACAGCTTTAATATTTTGAACAATCTGATGGCCGGTGGAATGTAGGTGGTGGCGGGAGGCGGCTCAGCCGTGTGAGGGTATATTATTTTTTTTTTTTGGTAGAATAATAAAACCAAGTGGTTGTTTGTTTGTGATGACGTTAATTGGGTGGTGGTGGGTACATATATATATATATATATTTTCACTTGTGACATATTTTTCCTTGATTATTTATGAGCTCACATGAATTTTGTAAGTATCTTCTAAGATTCTTGTGTTTTTTGGGTTTTTCTTTATTTTTATATTATTATTATTATTAATTTGTTTGAGGTGTCGGTTGAGGGCATATTTGGAATTGGAGTGTTTGAGCATTAGTGGAAGGTACTTATTCGATTTTTCTTGAATAGTACAATGATGTTATTTTTTAATAAGTAAATGTGTTGCTATGTCTATTCAATTCCAGTTCAGACCTATGGTACTACCCTAGTATTTATGCTGTTATAAATATTAAATAGCAACAACATGAATAAATTTTGAGTACTTTATTGGAGCTAAATTAAACCATAAGAAATTATTGTGATCATGTAATATTAGAGCAAACTTTTTTCTTATTTTTTTGAATCTAAAATATTTGTGTCAGTCTTAAATGATCTGTAAATTTAGGATTGAAATTGGTCTTGATCACGAAAAACACTGAAGTTTGGATAACTTAAACCTGCAGAAAAACCTCGTTGTTACAGATTTAATTTGTTCTTGCCGAAAGTCGATTAGGGTTAATCGATCTTATACATCACCTGTCGATCAAGATAAGTCATTGTTATCTGCATAATGAAGTAAATAATTAGTCAAAAGTAGTTCTCTTTAAATGTTCTAAAAAGTCATTTAGTGATCTGGGCTAAAAATGATCATAACTTGTAGAAAGATTTTATGTGCAAAAAAAGGTCTCTAATTAATATATAGTGGACCTAATTAAATGACATGGGCCAAGCCCAATAATGTTTTTTTTAAATTAATATTATTCACTTGTGGACTACGTTAAATATCTGTCATTTCTCATATTATTGTTCTAACAGTTGGAGCAAGTGAGTTTGCGTAAATCAAATTATGTTCGAATCCCTTTGTTAATTGTCTAGATCGAACTTTTTTACACATGGTTAAATTGATGTGGTTTAAATCTCTGGTATAGTTTGCAAGCTATTATACATCAGTGTAGATAGGTTTACCGAGTGCTCAATTCATTCGCTTAGATAATATTTTCTTCCAGTCCCAAATCGGTAAAAATATGTTGAATTATTATTTCGATAATTTAATTTATCGTTGAAGTAATAAAAATTTATTAGTTCCGATCGACTATATTAATTTAAAGAGATTTAAGTGTAAGTTTGATTGAAGTCATATATTCGCAGTGCACTAGTGCTCCATGAGTTAATACCTCACTATATTAAAGAATGCAATTTATGTTCACATTTAATTGATTGACTAATTCCAGAATGTGACCCAGCCCATCTCTTAAATAAGACCACAAAATTAAAGCCCAACTTCCACATCATCTTAAATTAGTGCTAATTCTCTCTTTGCTTAATTCTTTTCTGGCAAAACACTATGAGAATATTGCAAAATAGAAACAAACAAAGCTAATAAGTAGATTGTTTATTCATAAACTAATTTAATGAGTGGCAGCAAAGATTTTGCTGTATTTGTACGAAACGCAAATATTAATTGCGAATTAAGTAATTAATGGTACAGTTAAGGAGCTGTCATTAATTAATTAGTCATAAGCTCAAGTTCACATGAGTTTCCTGTCTGAATTAAGCAAAGTGTGTATCGATATTCGATTCCGCACGTAAGATTACAACTGTGTAAGCTCATGACATAGTACAGAAAAAATCTGACTTTTCACCATTAAAAAATTTATAATTAACTTAATTAATTAAATTAATCTCTGCTTATTAATTATTTACGTGTGGGCTGTGGCCAAGTTCAAGAAGCAAAAGCTTTGAACTAGTAGCCGCGCGCATACCGTGTGGAACGCTTCGAACGAAAAAAACAGGCTTGAGCCTCGTTTGGTAACCAAAATATGATTAAATAAGTTATAAAGTTGTTATCTTTCGAGTTTCGCTTGTCTAAAAAGTTACATTAACTTAATATGAAAAAAATATATACATATTTTTTAATTAATGACAACTTATCTTATCTACCAAATGAGGCCTTACAATGATTCTACGTGATTAACAAAATTCAACTTCTTACATCATAAGGAGAGTCGATATTGGATACATTTAGACACCAGTGGAGATATGATTTTAAGTTCGAGGGGGTCGAATGCATTAAAAAAAATCACTGCTAATGCTATTGTACGCAAGTTCTTACATTTCTATATAAATCTAGTCTATATTTTAGAAATATCGAGGAAGGGGCATGGCCCCCTCTGTCCGTATTTTGGCTCCGTCATTGCATTTGGACCTTCGCTTAGTGACTATTAGTATTTGTGGATGTTATCGATTAGGAAAATATGACATTTGAGAATGAAAATAGCGTTTGTTTACGAATTTAATTTGTGAGATTGATCGAACCGTAGATGTTAAGTTTTATTTTTTCTGGATAATGGTGTGTTACATTGAACTTTTAAATGTTTAAGTATTATGTTTTAATACAAAAAAGGAAAATGTTGATATTATTAAAAGAAGAACAAGAAGCTGCTTGTAAAGCCCTACAAGCTTAATTAATCTCTAATGGAAGCTAAAGCTCAAATATCAATGTGGAACAGTTTTCTCACATTAGTTGATAATTTTAAAAACTAAAAAAAGGCCTCTTGATTTTGAAAATAATTTTACCAAAAAAAAAAAAAGATATAAAAATATGATGTCGAGAATAGTTGGAACAAGGCCATATGAACATCGAGACTGTCACGTGCGGGCCTGACTTTCTTGTTCAGTACAACACACAGTATTTTTTATGTATATAAGGTACAATTAATACTAGCATGGGAAACTTCAAACTGCTCACATTTGGAAATATTATTTAATCTTAGTACTTCACATTAATTTTTTTATGTCGAATAATGATAATTATTATTATTATTATTAATTGGCATTTATCTTGCATGATCTAATTGAATTTTCCAACGTATTGGGGTTTGCCCTACTGTACTTCATTATTCATTATATTCTCAATTATGCATGTTTCAATATATAATATATATAGTACTCCATTATATAGGTATTATCTCCATGCATTATTGCTTTAGTACTTTCAACGTTGAATGGGAAGAAAATAAAAACAAAATTGACACCCCATCAACTTCATGTATTCATATATAAGTGAAATTATTTACGAAGTTGAAAATAAAATCGAGCACGAAAAAATAAGTATAACTGACGCTTTGCACCCTCGAATTCATGTTTCTTATATTTCATACCTTTATATATATTGAAAAAAATAGCATTTTACACTCTCGAATTACTACTTGTATATGCTATACACGTTTTATTGGAAAATTGGCCTGCTATCCTTGATAGTGAGTCAAGAGAAATCGGAAGTTTTTCGTCAGTTTTTTTTGTTGAAAGTTTCATTAAGTTTTTTTAGAAATGAGAAAGACAAAAGTGCCCCTCTTTAACTACATTACAAACCCGGTTGCAAGTCAGTTTTCTAGTAAAAAGTATAGCAGGGTGCAAACTGTCAAGCAAGATGCTATTGGAGATTACAAAGTGCTAATTTTACAATTTAATGGTGCAAAGTGCCAATTATCAAAAAAAAATAATAATAACAAAATCGAAATATAAGATCGTCCCTATTTAGAATTAGCAAAAAAAAAGTTCAATGATGAGTCGAGCAACGTATTAATATTAATTTTAACTTTTACATGTTATTGATATCCGAAATTATCATAATACAAATAAGTTCGGAGAATAAAATTTGAAAAATGCGACGATTATTTAGATGAATTAACCAGCTTTTACATGCAACAATTAATTAATCATGGTTGTCCCGCAAGAGATGACATAGCAGCTGGAGCAATTTAATATGTGTCTATTCACACACGTTCGAATCTCATTGCCAACGGTCGCTAGATCGAGCTTCTCACACATGGTTAGCCTGATGCGGTCCACGTCACTCGTATAATTTACAAGTTATTACACGAGAGTATATGTTTACCCAGTGCACCTATATAATTGGAACGTAACTTCCTTCATCACCAAAAAGAAAAATTAATTAATTATGGGCTTAATTATGTCATATATATGTGTGTGAAAACGATAAATTGGACCACTTTGTATGTCGATAACGTGAAGTTATATGGCAAATAATTGAAACAAATTGGAGTAGTATTTGTCGTTCATGAGAAACAACAAAAAGCCTAGATCTGTAGCACAATTACCAAGATTGACCTTTTGGGGTTATTAGGGTTTCCTTGCCTTTAGAAGAGCACGAAGGTTACATTGCTTTACTAACACATTAATTAGTTGTAATTAAAATTTTAATCAAAAGTGCACTAATTAACTTGTATTTTGATCCATTTGTTGTACTAATAAAAATTGCTAACCAAGTACTTTAGTTTTAATTAATGGTCCCAACCTTGAAATTTATGCTTATTGGGGTTGAGAATAAAGTACTAATTTACTATGGGAATATGAATTATATGGCTCGCCGATTTGTATTTCACGTGGGAGCTCTTGACTGTTACTTTGATTTATTTAATTTATTATTTTACATTATTTATTCTGAAATTCTTTAATTTTACCCCTTCCATAAGAATCTTTTATATTTATATATTTATATATGCGAATGACTCTAACCCATAGTTAGAGGGTGTTTGGCTAAGCTTATAAGATGTTAAAAGGAGTTTATAAGATGTTTTAGAGCTTATAAGTCTTTCAAAGTGTTTGGTAATTTTTTTTAAAAAGATCTTAATTTTTTTAAAAATAAGTTGTTGGAGAGCAAATAAGATCTTTTTAAATAAGTACCTCTACCCCACATTTTTATTTAAGATCTTATAATGAGTAAAAATAGAAAATAAGTTTATTATCCAAACACTCTAAAAATTAATCCTAAAAATAAGATGTAACAGCTTATCAGCTCCTAAAACATCTTATCAGACGTAAGAGCTTATCAGCTGTTTAAAATAAGCTTAGCGAAACACCCTCTTAATAAGAGGGTTTTTGATGAAGCTTATAAGCTGGCAAAAGGAGCTTATAAAATGTTCAAAAGCTTATGAACTCTTTTAATTTGTGCGATAATTTTTTGTTTACATTTTACAAATTGGAAAGAAGCTGTTGGAGAGCTTTTAATATCTTTTTTTTTTTTAAATTATTTATACCATAATTTTTTATTTAAGATCTTATAATTAAAATAACTAATGAACTCATTATCCAAACTCTTTCAAAAATCAATTCGAAAAATAAGATGTAACAACTTATGATCTCTTAAAATAGCTTATCAGCTAATTAAAATAAATTTAACCAAACCGACCCTAAATATATATAGGAACTAATGTTTTCGAAAGCGGTTCCGACTCCAATTTTTCTTACATATATTTTTGCAGAAATGCCGTGTGACAAACACACAGACATAAAGTATAGCATCCTAGTAATATTAGTGACATCTTATCATGTTTTTATTTATGATTATTATTATTATTATTATTATTATTATTATTATTATTATTATTATTATTATTATTATTATTATTATTATTATTATTATTATTATTATTATTATTATTATTATTATTATTATTATTTTAAATTAATGAACATTAGACCTAATTCAACTACTACATGATTACAAGTGTGCTAGTCACACATAAGTGAGTGTCAATGTCCAGTCAAAAAGCTAGTTTGATTAGATGAAATAATTGTTGTCATCAACCCTAATTAAAGGTGGTTAAGATGTGGAATATTAAGA